AGTAGCAGTAGCAGTAGCAGTCGTCGCCGTCGTCGTAGTTGTTGGAGTTGGAGTTGGACGTGTTAGTTGTAGCTGTAGAGATGTAGTTGCAGTTGTAGTAGGCCTCCCCTACCAACCCCCTCCGTGTAAGTATCTTTGGTGTTTTTTAAACTAACCTTTGCTGCCCTTATGTGCATTTGCTGTGCGTGTCTGGAATCATCGGCTAGCACTGATGCTTACCCGTGGCATTTGGCAGCTCTGTTCGTATGGGTGAAGTGTATGCAGGCCTTCGCAGGCTAGTAGAAGTGCATGGGCTTGCTTGTACATTCATTTCTGTACAATTGTGTGTTGCTGTCGTCACTGCTTATCCATGGCCGACATGTGCAGTGGTTTGCAGATGTTTATTAGAAGAAGCTTTATATTCGTTGTGAGCAGCTCAGATCACGGAATGGTCAGCGTAAGCATCGTCTCAGAAGCTCGCTAGCTTGGGCATCTAGGCCAGGAGCCCTCAAAATGGAAGTTTATCGTCTTCGTCACGGTAGCGCTGAGAGTTTCTTTTGCAAGGCGTTCTTCAAACCCATTAGGGGCCTTTGAGTAGTTGAGGTGTCAGGCAGTCGGTTGTACATGGGTGATCAGCTGCAATGCCCTTGGAGGGGAGACCGATTCTAGGCCCTTCTAGGCCAATGTGGAGCAGGTGTTCACACAGTAATATAATCAATCAGTAGCATATTTAAAAATGTGTAAATAAATGAATCAGTACATACATCTTTAAATACGTAAACAAACAAATGAACAAATGTCAGTGGAATAGATAGAAATACATAAATAAGTAAATAAGCAAATGAATGAATACGTAAACCAATACATATCTAAGTAAGTATACATACAGGAAACGCCGCACAGCACATATATACATATATATATATATACACGTATATATATATATATATGCATATCTAAGATACATACACATACGTGTGTATATATATATATATGTATGTATGTATGTATGTATGTATATATATATATATATATATCTGTTTGTTTCATACTGTGCTTAGACGTCAATATGACAAGTGCATGAATAGATAAAAACATGAATATATACGCAAGAACTAAATAAAAGTTGATTTATGCACACAAGAGCTTAAGGAGCCATGCCATGTAAGCTTCCTGTAGTTTTTTTTCGGCAGCCCTGCTAGTTCAGGTGACGCCTCCAGCACGCTCAGCGGCTCCGCCATAACACCTGACAGGTTGTTCAAAGCTGCTGAACATCGCGTTATGCTTCTGTTTGCCAGACCTCAGCTTCCAGTCTCGACTTTGGCTGGTACCACCTCTCCATGGGCAATAATGCTTCATGCCAACATGGCCATGGATACCGGTAGTACCAAAACATCTCATGTCAAGCGCTTAAAGCAA